AGAGCACTCAAATGCACTGCACACTCGCATCCATACGCTTTTAGGCACAACAGCACCAGCAGTAGATATGACAGAAGGACTTCATCCACTTCCTTTGAACAAATACCTGAGTGAAACTCTGAAATAAACTGTCCTCGAAAAACGAAGGAATTTCAGAAACAAAATATTCTTAACTGGGGTATGACTATGATGATGGAACCGGTGCAGCACGACCGGCGAAGACGAAAAAATTTCTTTAACGAAACATCAAAGCTGAAAGAGCATAGAAGGAAATCTATTTACCTGGACATGAAACTAGAGTCTGTCTACCGTGAATAAGTAGACACAAAGCAAATTCTCAGTACAGTAAGGGCACAGGAAGAAGTTTAATTCATTCATGCCACAGCAATCTCATAAGGTCTGAAATTTGTTGACACTGGATAATACATCAGTACCTCTACTCTCCTCATTAATAATGGCAAATGGTAAAGCTGAAACCCGTAGAATATGTGAAACAAACACTGAAGTAAAACTATGATCGAACTGAGTCACTTTCGACTAAAAATAGACATAAGCAGATCTTCACCTAGTGCTTTTCGTACACTTCATAGGAAAGGTCGGTGTGGACTCAAGAGTATATCTTGTGAGAGAAGACTAAACTAGCTGGAGAGTCGCAGTACCCCCTGATTAGCCAAAAATTTGTTTAAGACAACTGAATATTGTAACTGAGACGGTGGAAATAATTAGCACAATAGAATACTTGATATTACTGCGCTCTTCGCTGTATGCTCAAACACATCTGAAAATAAAGTCCTAGATATGGCAAGCTTATTTATTCATGAAATGCAAGCGAATACAAGAGATATTTTGAGTAAACAGGTCACATTCAGGAATATTTATTAAATATGTACGTGCAATTAGGGTGAAATTTCAATTCTTACAGTGCACTGTTATTTGGTTCGGGGGGTTAAATAGGCAGAAGAGAGAAAAGAGGTTAATTGGCAACGGTTGCGCTACGCTGAAAAATTACCAGGATAGCGCCCAGATCATCTTCCAAAAAGATGCCGTCAAATTTGGATGATAAAATGTTCGACTGAATCTCAAAAAAATTGGCGAATCGTAGAACACGGCCAAAAGGGTGAGCGGCAAAATATAAGTACCTTATTCTGGCGCAAACTGTGACCTATAGGGTCTGATGGTGCAAATTCGCAAGGCTTTTACAAATCTAAGCAGGCTGGTGATCATGACGCAGTTTAAATGGAAGACAGAGCATAAATGAGCACAACGTGTGATAGGTTTCTTTTATTATTAAAAACCATCCAATAAACATGGCTCGATGACAACATTGTGAGAAATATGAACAACGTAACGTAAGCCGATAATTTAGTGCATCACTGTAGCGCAACTGCATACAATTCGATATGTTCAAACTCATACAACCGAATGTCCTGGTCGTCCTGCTGAAAGTTATGGAAAAGTATCACTTGGGAAAAAAGTCCAGCGTAATATTGCCCAGATTCGTCGTGGTGTTAAATGGTATATGATGAAGAATCCGTTCTTGACCTGGTAGATCGCATGCATGCTTGATTTTCAACGCAAGAACTGGCGGATTCTGTCTCTGAAGGTCATTCTCTGAGTGACATCCGGTTACAGTAAATTCTTTAACACCGTTTATGGTAGTCACTCTAGAAAACGTATTGCATGGACGCTATAAAGCATAGAGACCAAAGACGTCTTCTGTCTCACCCCATGATTCTGTGTCGTCCGAAGCTCAAGTCAACCAGACTCACCTTATACGTATGTTGAGGTGACCGTTTCAAACACCGCACTCGACCCTTAACTGTCGTGCAATCTTCATCACCATATGTCTGGCCGCACACCAGCATAGGCAGTAAACATAGTAGCAGGGCTGCATCCATTTTTCTATGAACAAACAAGTAAGTGAAATACGGGAAACTATTGTTACTGAAAAGAACGCAAAGAATTACAACAACTAAAAGTTCTCCAAGGGGGAGGGGGGCACATCGATGGTAGAGCCGGAAAGTCAAGATGGGCAGAGAGGAAAGAAATTTTTAGGGAAATCACTGAATCAACAAAAAACTACTAATTTGCCTGAACTCGCGAACAGTTCCTCCTGCTTAATACACTGATAGACATAAGCCCACAGAGATGC